GAGAGAGAGAGAGAAAGCTAAAAAGGAATCAGTCTCGAGACACATCACCACAGAAGACGAGAAGGGCGACTCGCGTGAGGAAGAAAGACTCTCGGGAACTCCGAAGAGTGGGATGGGGGCGTGGGTGGAATGGGCGATGGTGGGAGACGGGTGAAACACGGCGCCCCGCTAGGACTCGCCTCGGTGGTGGGGACAGTTCAGGGCCGCGGGGAGGGAGACGACGGCACCGCGAGTAGGGGCAGACGACGCTGCGATGGAGGGGGCAGAGGTGGGGAAGATGACCGCGGAGCCGTCAGTGCGCCACGTGCTGCCGTCGCGAGTGGGTTTTCGCTTTTGCTCCGTTTCGTCGGCGGGCCATGCACGCTGTCGCGACACCGCTGTGACTCCTCTTCTCTTTTCGCGGTGAACCGATCCAGGAAGACTCGATCGGGAATCGCGGTGACCGGTGACAGTCGCGGGGTGTGCGGCGGAATCGTCGCGGCGATGCGCGTCTCCGCACGGTGACGGATGACTCGAGCGGAGGAAGTAGTGACCCTGCTGAGGACCACGCAGAAAAAAAGAGTTCAGTGAGTGGTGATAGAGCTGTTGTCCTCCCCTCCTCCCCCCCTCCCCCGTTCCCCACTGCAACTCATTTTCCTCGCCTACTCCCCTCGTTGAGTCGTGCTGCATAGCGACGAGTTGATCGCGTCGTGGAGATGACGACGTTGTGATATGGTGCCGAGAATCTCGCACCCGAGGCGCGTCCCGATGCTCGCCGTTCCAACGTCGCGTTCCTCCTGTCATAACTGCTGGACAAGGATCGGCGCGTCTGTGGTGCCGGCGGTGACGGCACGCCGGGACCGACGTATCCTGCCCGGTGGAACCACTACTTCGTGGTGAGTGTGCCGTGTGATTCATGCGTTTCCGGAGACCGCCACGGGCGACATGTCACGTTGGTTACCGGTACCGTTCGAGGAGCTAGTATTCTTACCGAAGGCCCTGCGTGAACGCATCGGAATGTGCTCATCCGTCGAGTGCTGTCACGTACGGTCCATTTGGTCGCTGGGAAATAAATAGTGAAAAATGCGATACGTCTCTTCCGAAAAATATAGAAACTAGAGTGTGGATTGTGTCGAAAGGCCTTAAAGGCATTTATTATTCCAGAGCGGTGTTATTTTACATATAGTGTTTACACGTGAATAATTTCATGTTTTTTTTACAACACGCACAAATAGAAAAAAAAAGAATTTATTTTCTCAATTTTTCTCATGTGAAGAGTGAACAGTTCGCTCCGAGACGCGTGACTTGAGTTCGCGCCGTACTCGGTGAAAATCCCAAAGTGCTATGCATGAAAATTTGAATTTGTAAAATTTTAATTTCATTAAATCTCCTTTTTCTCACGACTACGTAATCGCGATGATTCCGTAGAATCCACCGCATTCCGTAGGATCCACCTTGATTCAATCTTGCGAATTTTCGCGCGTAAATAGTTGTCAGGAGATATCCTACGAGATATCTTCCCGCGCGGTTGCTTCTTATCGGAGAAAAATTTCGCGGGGAGTGCAACGCGTTCCACGGTTGTTTTATAAACAACAGAGGCAAAAAGAAATGGAAAAGAAGAAAGATCACTGGCAGCGCGGGTACGCGCGAGCGCGTGGCTAGCATAAACAAAAGTGCAGTGCGCGCAGCAGGTGGCGGGGAATCGCGTGTAATCCTCGTGCACGTCCGCGGAGAGCGCGTTGCTTCTACCCCTTTGGAAAATTAAAGTCGCGCCGCATTAACCTCGATCAAGCGTGCGCCGGCCGCGTCAAAGCGTAGTCGCGGATTAAATCGCGCCGCGCGATTCTATTTTCGCCCTCGTGCCACGATTTGGATTTTCTCTGTCGTGCACCTTGCTCCTCCGCGTCTTCGTTTATCCTACACGCGTTCGTCTTTCCTACACGTACACAGATATATACACACGTATACGCGCGTACGCATGCCACACAAAATACACACATATACACACACACACACACACACACATTTTCTCTTTCTCTGTCTGTATATCGCCATCTCCGATTCCGGAATATCTTACAAGCTGTCAGGATAAAAACGCCATGATTTCCTATAGCGCGAGTGACACATATTAAAGCGTTCAAACCTTGTAAAATATGATATTATATCGATATGATGTGATATGCAATATGTGAGATTATCGACACGTACTCGACGGGCTAATTTCGATTTGGGTCGAATTTTGATTGGTAAAATGTCAGTGTGTGACTAGACGTCACATATGTCATAATGCATGCGACGATTAGAATGAGAATAGCGAATACTATATTTGTTGTCGGGCTGGATTACGGTCGACGGGATGAAACATTAAGTGAAATTTATATCATTAGAAAAAGAAATTATTTGTGTGAATCTTATTTTTTATTAAAAAAAGTACCAGAATATTATAGTTTTATATTATAAATGTAAGGAAAATACGAATTTGTTGTTTCATTTGTTGTTTAATTTTTTGTTTAATTTGTTGTGCATATTTATATAGAATGATTGATAACGTTTATATTTTCTTAATCGTCTCTTTTTATATTAAAAACGATCGTTTCACGCAGTTTATTTCTTAAAAGTTTTATTCCGATTTGTTTTTAGGAGGCTTAATTATGTATCGATTTTATCAAGAAAATTTAATTTTAATTTTGAATTTTGTAAATTTTTTATCTCTTTCGTGATTAAGTATTGCCTGTAATTAAGTGATCAGACAGAGATAATGACTCTGTAATTAACTATAATTAAACTATAATTAGCTATAATTACTGCTGATTGACATCGCATGATGATCGCCTTCAGATTTATCTTCAGTTCGGCTCTCAACACCTCAACATCCTCAAACCTTTTCATCTTCAATTGTCCTTGCTTCCTACTTGCGTCAACCCGTGACACGAAGCACGCAAAAGAGAGAGGGAGGGAGAGAGAGAGAGAGAGAAAGAAATAGAGCGAGAGAATGAGCATGTCTGTGCGTCGCGCTGCGTGTGGTTTATCCCATATCCGCGCTAATTGTCAGTTCATCAATATCGCGCCTGAAAAATGCATTTTTGAGCGAACGCACTACGGGAGAGCGTGGAGCGTCGAGTGGACGCCTCCACCCTTTCGCCACCCGCCATGTCAGGGAGGGGGTTGAGGTGGGTTGGGCCGCTTCTTGACACGCTTTCCATCTTCGGTCTGATGGATGCGGTAAACGCTGGCGTTGACAGTGCGTTTTAATTGCGAGGTCCGCGTTACTGAAGCCATCCGAAGTGGGTCTCGGCTGACGGGATTGAAAGCGCGCGTCATCGCGACGAGAGATTTTTTTCTACCGTGCGGTGCGGTGCGGTACCACCGGTACCACCAGTGCAAAGCGACGGATCTTTTTTTCGATCACTTCGATCACGATCCATCGCGACGTCGGGTCTTGGCGGCCTTCGATTTCGAGTCGATGGCTCGACCTGGTTCTTTCTTTTTCCTTTCTTTTTTCACATCTTCTTTTTCTTTAACGGGAATATTTACTTTGCGCGCTTCTTTTCGCGCGAAGCAAATTACGTGCGCGCGCGCGCGCGCGCACGCGGAAGTTTGTGTGGCGAAAGGGACACGGCGACGTCGCGTCTTTATCGTTAACCTTATTTCGGGTCGAGAGAGCCCGCGACGCAATTAACGGGATGCATCGAATAAGGCGCGGGCAGCGCGATCGGAGAGAGAGCTGATCTGTCAATCTTATTCCATCCTTGGAGAAGTGGTGCATTAACGCGCCGAGTCCTTCGCTACTATACGATGATTCGCAATTATTCGCGTCGATACTCAACGATTATGCTTTTTCCTTTCGACTCCCTCTCGAAGTCACTCCGAATCGGACAGTCGATTTCTTTTTATTATTGCAAATGCACTGTCCAACGATCTGTATAAGGAGACACGTTTCGGAGCAATTACTGTATTATGTATTATGTAATTTGGAAATATTGGATTACGATTTTGTCTTACGTTGCATTATCGGTTTCCTCTCGCGTTTATAGAGCACTTTGGACGTTAAGAATACTTACGATTATGCATTATAAATTCGGAGGAAACGTACGGCGAAGAAACGAAAACGAGACAACTTCCGTTTGCGTGCGTGTTATTTTAACTACTATGCTTATACGTGCGCTTGACGTTCGGATGTAAACGTGAACGCGAATTAGTTTATTATCTTAGTCCCGGACACCTGAAGAGAGAAAGAACTCCTCAGGATTGCGTAGACCGAGAGAAATGTGTTCGCATATTGCGTTCGTATTAATATAGACGCATAATTTATCGCATGCTTGATGCGATCAGTATGAAATGAGACAGACTTTGTTGTGTTTACACAGATATCACGTTTAACAATTTATTATTTAAGAATTTTTCCGAGAGCCTTTTTAGGCAAAATTCGATGATGTTAACGTATTTCTCAATTTTTTTTTTCATTTATTGCCTGTTAGAATAAAATTAAAATGCGTAAATAATATAATAATATGATACATTATTTAACATTAGTTAAATGGTTCTTGTATCACATAAACTAATGAAATTTTATAATAACGTACTATACGAGAGAAAGCTGTGGAAAACAGCAGTTGTCATCTGACGATTTTGCTTCTTACGCCGTGGAAGCTACAAAAAATTATAGATATCGTCGCGCATACATCTTATGGATGTGTATACATTTTTCACGTTCATCAATTGTTTTTACACTAACTCGCTGTAAACGATCCGCTTTTGCACGTCACACGCATGTGGTGGCAATTGCCGGATATTTACGAGACAATCCAATGTGACAAACATCGTACGGG